CCCCTATTCCGGCCACGCCCTATTCCGGCCACGCCCCCAACACAGCCACACACCCAACCGCCGCACCAACCCCTAGCCACACCCCCAACACAGCTACGCCCCCATCCCAGACACACCCACACTCCAGCCACGCCCCCAACACAGCCACGCCCAACACAGCCACGCCCCTATCCCGGCCACGCCCCAACACAGCCACACCCACGCCCCAGCCACGCCCAACACAACCACGCAGCCAGCACCGCCCCTCCCAGGCCAGCCTCGCCCACGCCCTCAGGCCCCCTACGCCCAGGTGCTGGCCTGTCTCGCCCTGTCCCTGTGTCGCTGTCCTCGTGCTCTGCCCTCTCTGTGTCCCCAGAGGTGACCCTCTGTCCTCAGCTCAGCTCCGAGGCCCAGACAGCGGCGCCCGGGGGCCTCCTGCAGGCGCCGGTCCAGAGCCTCCCGCAGCCCGGGGATGAGACCCGGCGTCTGGCAGAGACGCTTGTTCAAGTTCAGTCTTTATAAGGGAACAGAAGGGTTTGCGCCGGAGCCCGGGCACTCTAATGCCAGGTCCCCGCCGCGCCCGAGCTGCAGCGCCGGCTCCCGCTGGTACCGACGGCCGTGCGCTGGACCCCGAGCTCCTGCCGGACCCCTGGACCGTGGCGCCCGGAGGGTGCGGGCGGCACCTCACTGGGCCTCCCCCGGCCACGAGCCCTGCGCTGGGGCCGCTGTTCTTTCTGGATCCGGTAGTTGTCCCACTGCCCGTGAGGGTGACAGTTCTAACGTGCCCGTGGTAGGTGACCTTGCCGAGGTCGCTTTAACCTGAGCCTCAGTTTCCTCATCTGTAGAGGGCGCCCCAGGCTGGCCTCACGGGGTGGGGACAGAGACAAATGATGGATCAGAAACTTTTCCAAAACCCAGGAGCGTCTGTGCAGGTAGATAGTGGTTTTGGTCTCGTGCCACCTTCTGGAATACTCCGGAGTCCCCGTTGCCTCGGAATGCGCCACGCCTCAGCCCCCCCGGGGAACCTGGGGGCTTCGGGCGTTGCTGCCACACAGGGAAGCCCAGGCACTGGTCGTGTGGCTGCGTCTCTGCTTTGCTTGGTTTGAGGGGGCATCCGGCCTTGTGTCGTCATGGCCCATGTGCCAGGTTTTCGCAGGACAGGTGGGCATGTGACGGACTAGGAGCAGGTGAGCAGGAGATGGTGGCAGCCCCTCCTCCCGGGACCATGGCCACCCGCCACCAGCAGACAGGCTCCCCGACATGGGGAGGAGGGAGGAAGGCCCTGCCCCTGCCAATCCTCGACCACGAGCGGTGGCCACGCTTTCCTGATGACCACGGCAGATGGGCCCCCTGCTGCACAGCCTCGGCCCAGCTGCCACCTCCACATGTTTTTGGAAATAAGCACAGTGGCGCCACGACCTGAAGAAAAGAGAAACGTGTGCTCAGGTTAAACCCACCAGAGGCACCTCCCGGGAGCAGAGCTGAGACACCTCGGAGGAAAAGCTCTGTCCTCCGTGGCCATGGCCGTGGCCTCCCATAGTGCAGACACATCCTGGGACCCCCTCCTTGTGCCGGCCTGACGTCAGGCCCTGGAGGCTGCTTGGTGTCCAAAAGCCAGCAGGCAGAGAGCAGCGTGCCCCCCGGGACTCGTCCCTTCACCCGGTGCAGCAGCCTGGCAAGGAGGGAGGCGGCCCTGGAGGGAGCGTCACTGGCTGGGCAGAGTTGGTGGGAAGAGCCGCTCACGTGGGGCAGGAGAAACAAGAGGACTGGCGCCAGGGGCCTAGTCAGCGGCTCATTTCTCCCTTCTCAGGAGCACAGACCTGTGCAGCTCAGGCAGAAAGCCTGGCCTCCAAGTGAGAAAGAACCCCATGGGGAGGTGCCCCCCCACCCCCACAGGGAAAGCCTGGGGCCCCACACTAGGATCTTGGGTCTCTGCACCCTCCCCCAACCCTCTGACCAGCCTGGCCCCGGCGAGGCCACCCGCACCCTCAGGCCCTTTGAGGGAGGGTGAGGACTGGCTCCCACCGAGCCTGCTGTAATTCCAAGTGAGGATGAGCCTGTGCCTGTTTACAGGAGAATTTTAAAAAATTGCATCGAAGCCAAATGCCCACGTGAGTGTGAAAACATCAGCCCTCTCTGTGGAAAGGAAACGTTCTGAAGATGTAAAGGCGGTTAGCTCTGAAAATAGCCTCTGCACTAAATAGGTGAGGTGCCCGGAGCACATGTGCTTCCTGGGGTCAGAGGGACACAGGCCTGTGGCTTCTGTGACGCAGGACCGAGGTGCCGAGGGAGAACCTTGCCGTGGCGTGCAGGCGGACCTCCAGAGGGCTGCTGGTGAGCGAGGGATGAGCCCACAGAGGCCCGAGGAACGAGTGCTGTTGGAAGCTGCCAATGAAAGGAACGTCACTGCAGAAAACCAGCGCAGTGACATGGACCAGCCTCCACCAGGAGGCGATTTCTCGGGGGCAGCAAAGAAATGGAGCCAGAGAGCGGAGGTGGCAGGTGTGGAGGACGGGGGTCGGTGTCTCACCTGAGAAGTGAGGCTCCGAGGGCAACCACAGTAACAAGAACAGAACAAATAGGTTAGGGTAGAAACGGAGCATTAGAAAGAAACTCTCGGGAGCTGGGGGTAATCCCCGATTTAAAACAAAACAAAAGCAGCCCAGACCTGGGCATCCTATGGCAATATCTTTGAGTTGACAGAGTACAAGAGAACTAAGTCTGGCGGTTATAGTGGGGGGAGAGTATAACGGCAGAAGGAGGGGAGTCCCCAGAACCACAAAGGCGCAGAGACGCGCCCTCTGGACCCCAGGAGGCCCAGAACCAGAGGCCAGAGGGAGGATCGTCTCCGGAGATTTGGCTGAAAAAATGTTTTGCTTATGAATTCAGTCCTATGTCTAGTTGTTGTTTGGACGAAGGGACTATACAGTAGTTTTAAATGTGCAAGGATGTGGAAAGTGCACCATCCACGTACCTTTCCTGAGGTGAATGAAAGATACACTCGAGCCAGTCGAAGGCGTAAAAGTCTGGAGCAGAACATGGGAAAGGTCATGGGTAGGAGGGTGGATGGTGACTGTAGATAGCAGTTAAACATGGGGGGGTATAAGTCATCCCCGTGGCCGTGGGTATGAACGTGCGCATGGAATCCACAGCAGTGGTGTTTAATACTCTGCCTGCCGTGGAAGGTGATGTTGTGTGATGACAAGCTGAGGTGTAATCTCGGGTTAAATGGACAAAGGACGGGGCCGCTGGGACGGGGCCGCTGCAGAGCCAGGGCCACCTAATGTCTCTTCATGGACTGGAAGGAACCCCAAGGACTTAGGTCATGAGAGAAAAGGCTTCGTTATCCAGGGTGCATATGAATCACACGCCAGCCGCCAGGAGTGGAGGAAAAGAACACAGTTTCTCCTAAACCACGGCAGGAGGAAAAGCGCGTGACACCTTGTTCATGTGCGTAGAGTAGAGAAAGGAACCACGAGAGGAGCAGAGCCATGCCGTTCGTGCCTGAGACTCGGTATCCGTGGTGACAACAAACGTAAATGGGTCAGTTTCCTCTACTAAAAGGCAGAGACCATCAAATAGGGTTTTGTTTTTGTTTTGTTTTGTTTTTTGTCTGTTTTCCATTTTTTTGTTCTCTGTAGGGTTGTTTTCTTTTAATAGTTTTAAAATAGCCAAATGTGTGTTGCCCTCTGAGTGTTCCTACAGACAATAAGGCTAAAAGCAAAGAATAAAGATTCCCCAGACAAATGAAGTGCAAAGGAAATCAGTAGGTAAAATATATTATATTGTCCCGGAGTGACTGTTAGTTGAGTGTCATCCTGGGCATCACAAGGTTGCCGGGTCGATTCCCGGTCAGGGCACATACCTAGGTTTCGGGTTTGATCCCTGGTTGGGGCATGTATGGGAGGCAACTGATCAATGTTTCTCTCACATCGATATTTCTCCCTCTCCTTTCATCTCTAACAATCAATTTTTTAAAAAGAAATATATATCCTCAGGTGAAGACCAAAAAAAAAGTGTGCAGCCGGCCCACGGGAGTCCTGTGCAGGGTGTGAATTCAGGGTACAGGGTCCCATCCTGGGTAGAGCGTGTGTCATCTGGTTGACCCAGAGCGAGTCACTTACCCCTCTGCCTCAGTTTCCACATTTATAAAATGGGAAAGTGCTATTCTCGGCTTCCTAGGGCTGCTGCGAGGATTGAAGGTTAGAACATCGATGCCTTACTGCGTATCTGCGAGTTCCCTGAAAGATGGACTCGTGAGTGTACCCGTGTCTTTAAATAACCTTACTTCTAAATCAGCAAAAATTGAAAATAAATAACTTTAGCTATTGAAAGAGCCACGCTAAAAAAAAAAAAAAAAAAAAAAAGAGGAAAGAGAGACACTAGTAAAGATGAAAAAGAAATACTTATGAATTTTAAGAAGAAAGGCCTGGGATTGATCATTGCTTCTCTGCCAAGATTAAAAATGTGTTCTCGCCTCTGTCACGTACGGTTATTGTTTTAAGTTAGAAAATGAATCTGCCAGGAAGACGGGACAATTGGCCTGTGTTAGAGCCTTGGATTATTCAAGAGTGCGCATCCATAGCTAGTGTATCGATCACTAACTTGGGAAAATTTTATTAAATATATGATTTTCTGGGGGGAAATTACCAAAAAATAGCTAGAGAAGGAGAAATACGTTAACCTTCTGCAGTAAAAATCCCAGACTGGAATTTAACAGGCACGCGCTTGAAAACACTTACTGTGCAGGTAACTTTCCCAAAACGCTGGGGCGTTACCCAGTTTATTTTAGGGACCAGGGAAGCCGGATGCTAGAAGTGCCCCCAAAGGCAGACAAGTTCATGGCGAAGTCGACTCGCTCGGCGGAGACTTGGAGCCTGTGACGTGGGCCGGGCTCTGGGCCAGGCTCCAATTCACTCAGCAAAGTCCCCTCATACCCAGCGTTGCTTTGGGGTTGCCGACAAATATGGGGACCCCGCCCCTGGGATGCGCGCTCCCCAGGCGCGGAGGTGATGGGGACACAGGCCGCCTGCCCCTGCCGAGAGTCGCGGCCTGCTGCACTCTGCTTCCCTGTAAAAGAACAGGACGCGGCCTCACCGCCGATCCGTGCGGGAGACGAAAGTGCATTTTAATATTTCAGGATCAGGAGGACGGGCCCTGGCAGGAGATAAATAAAAGATGTGCTCTGGCCCAGGAGGTGCCCAGAAAGTCACAGGCAGACACCAGACTCGTGCCTCCGAGAAACATCGGCGTCGCTAACAGCAGACCTGTGGCCAACCTGGAGGGGAAGGCGGCCACCGGGGACCCAGCGCCCACCTGAGACCTGAGCCCGCGGGGCGCTTAGCCCGGCCCCTGCCCACCGGGTCCCAAACCCCCCGTGTGGCCATCCCGTGAGGGCTTGCTCGTGGGAGTCCCGGCAAAAACAGCCACATGCGCATGTGTAAGAGGAACTACGGTCATCATTGCTGACCAGCGAGGTACACAGGTGCTCCCAGGACCCTGGGGACCTGCCTTGGAAACGAATTACGGAGTTGATTAAATTGGACCAAGCAGGAATATAGAAGTTTCTCCGCTTGTGTTCAGTGTAAGTTTCATGGATACGAACAAGACCAGAGGTCAGCAAACCGTGGCCCGCCGGCCCCATCCAGCCCCCACCTGTGTTTGTCATAAAGTTTTATTGGGACGCAGCCGTGCTGTTCGTACGCACGTCACCGAGGGATGTGTTCATGCTGCAGCGGCAGAGCCGAGTCCTCGCAAAGCGGATGATACCCCCACCTGGCCCTTCCCCGAATGCGTTGGCCACCCGGACCCGCCGGATGCGGGTTCACCAGCCCCGCCCGCCGGGATGCGGGGGCAGCGGCCAGGCGCCGTCGGGTAGGAGGTGGACTCGGGTGAACTCGCAGGCCGCTGTTGGGGGGAACTTGCCCCCTTGCCCCCGGAGGAGATGCGAACACAGAACTGCCTTCCCGCTTCCGAGGCTGCCTGTCGAGAATGTCTCATGGTTTTAATTAAAGTGAGTGCGTGAAATGAAAGTGAGCGCGTGGGAGAGGAGAGAGCTCCGTGAGTAACAGCAGGATGAGCGTGAAACGCTCGAATAACCGTGGCGGGGAAAGGTGGCACCTCCGCAGGGGGAAGGGCAGAGCCTCGGGCGAGAGACTTGGAGGACTTGACTAAATCAGGAGAAAGGTGGCTGAGGCTGTGCTGGGGTGAAGGCGGGGCTGGGGCGCGAGGCCTCCTTCCGGGAGGCGACGGTGCTCTGGCCCGACTGCAGGCTGCGCAGCCGTGAGGAGACTACACACCTTGAATCGACCCTTTGATGGGCCGTGGGTGTGTGAACGACACCTCAGGGACCCGCTGTGAACAGACGGTCGGAGATCCGAGCCCAGGGGGTGTGGCCGGCGTGGGCCCCCTGTTCTCTGGACTCCTCTGCTCTGCCTGACCCTGCTGGGCGGAGGTGACCTCCCTGCTGCCACGTGGCCGTGGCCCCTGAAAGTGGACACTCAGTGGGGCTTTGATCCTGAGCTTCAGGAGCATGTCGCCCGCCCTCGCCGCCGCAGATGGCGAGGTGTCGGCCAGAGCGGGCTCAGTGCTGCCTTTGAGGAGCTGCCTGCCCTCCGCCCGCTGTCACCTCCAGGCCCCTTTAATCGCATCACCTGTGGGCTCGGGACGAGAGTCCACTGGCTGTGGTCCTCTGATGCGCCAGGGAGCCGCAGTCCTGAGTGCAGGCCGGGGCGGCTTCAGAGCCGGTGCCACCTGGGAGCCCAGCCAAGGGACAAAGAGGACACGGCTCGGAGGCCGCAGAGCCATCCTGCGCTTGTCAACACTCCCGTCTGAAATGCCGCCTGGCGAGCCTGCGGCTCCAAACACAAACGAGGCTTTGGAGAGGTGGCCGCCAGCATGCCGCAGAGCTGGAGGTGACCTGGCTGGGACGGCGCCCTGTGGTGTCCGCATGTGGCCTGGCTGCAGACAGGCTGTGAGGACAGGACGGCCGCCTGTCTTCCCCGAGGTCAGGGCGGGCGGAACTGCAAGGAGTGTGGCCCGGAGGGGCATGGGGACCCTGTGGGCACTGCAGGCGGGAACCACTTTTGAGATCTGGCCGCTCTGCATGAGGCCCAAAATCTCCCCACCCTGCCTGAGTCCAGGGCGAGGGCATGGCTGCTCCGCTGCTCAGGGAGGTCAGTGACCTTGCCCGTGGTCCCCTGTCACTGTCCACTCTGCTGTCTGGGACCACAGTAGGGGACACGGATGCAGAGTCCAGCAGGAGGCTGTGCTGGACTCATCCAGTTCCCACGGGGCATGGGGGGCCCCCATTGGTACCAGCCGCCTGTCTTTAGGATGTGAGCCCCGAGGCTTGTCCAGGTCTGGGTCAGGGCTGTGTGGCACGTCTGTGGCCTGCGTTCACGTAGCCTCAAGGAGGGCCGGCAGCTCAGGCACCCTTGGGAGCCGGCAGCCAGCAGGGACATGGGACAAAGGGTGCTGGACACAGGGCCCCCAGGCGGAGGCTCTGGAGTCTGTGGGTCTTTTCTCTCTGCCCTCATAGAGGTGGCTTTCCCGCTGCCCCACCCGTGACATGGGACTGTCATTTCACACCTGCTCGCTCGCTGGCTGTTCCGTTGCATTTCCTGACTCTGGGGTGCTGGGTGGCCGGGGTGCAGGGGGCCTCATGGACCAGGGACATGCACGCCACCCCAGTTCTGTGGCCACCCAGGGGCTCCACGGGTCCACAGGCGTCCACCACTATTCCCTGTGCAACTAGGCAGCGCCTGCTGTGTGCATGGCGAGGCTGGAGGCACCGCAAGAGAAACCTGCAGAGGGACCCAGATCCAGCACCCTAGCCAGTCGCGTGCCCTCTTGTCACCTCGTCACTGCACAAGGGGGTCCCACACAGGACACAGGGGGCAGGTGGGCGGGGCGCTGCTCTCAGCACGTGTCCACTCCTCCGGGACGCAGGTCTCCATGTAGTTTAGATCCTGGAGGGGGTCACTGCCATCTGCTGAGGGTGCTGTCCCGCCGGGCGGGCCTTGGGGTGTTTCCTGAGTTCCCACCGTTTCTAACGGGGACCCTTCTTGTCTGGGGGGCTGACTGTTCTCTTCTCTTTGCTCCTCAGGTCTCCTGACAAACGCAGCTCCCGAGGGGCCCGGGAGAGGCCTTGGCTCCCAGGCGAGTCCACTCCTGGGCGAGGGTCCTCCAGCCACAGACACCCCCATTCTCTGCCATCGGCCCGCCCTCCATTTCTCCGCAGCCCCACAGGGACGGCCTGCGTCCCGGGCCTTCTGAGCTGTCTGTCCGGCTGCACCAGGAGTCCGGCCTGGGCCCCAGCTGGGGGTGCGCCTCCATCCGGGGAGCCTGCTCGCCCGCCCTCCCTGGCCCACGTCGGCTGTGCCCCTGAAGAGGACCAGGACCAGGAGGAGGCAGAGGGGCTGCGGCCCAGCCAGGCGGAGGGACCGGACGGCGCCTGCCTGGCGGAGGAATGACTCTCGGGCGCAGAAGTGGCCTCTCCTTGTGCCCAGACTGTCCGAATGGCTTTTATTTTCTTACCCTTTCAGTATACTCCATAGACCAAAGAGCAAATCTATTTTAACGTGGACTCGCCCCCACATCCCAGTCCCGGGTTCGACTCCGGGGCACAGGGGCAGAGACATGCCGGGGGCCGCGGCGGGGCGGAGAGGGCGGCCCCGGCCAAGGCCCCCGCCCCACGAACACTGCGGTGCGCCCTGAGAGGGGCCGCACCCCGAGGACGCCGGCAGCCCTGCGGGACGCGGGGGCGATGACCCCTCGCAGGTCCCTGGGCGCCTCCCCGGGACAGGGGCCGCGGGCACTGCTCCTCTGTGCTGAGATGGACCGACCACCGTACTAAACTCTGTTTTAACCAGTTAGACTCGCCGCCGCGCTCCATTTCCGATAGTGGGATAATCCAGTCTCCGCCAAGAGCATGTTGGGTCTCCCGTGACCGCTGTCTCATCCGATGCACCATTTAGCTCCAGAAAGCAAATTAAAGGAAACTGAAGTAACACTTGTTTGAAAGAGATCATTAAATGTATTTTGCAAAGCCTAAAGTTATATATTTAACAGTTTTTATATGTTGTATATTTGTAGAAAATCCTATTTAACCATTCATGTGGCAGCCCCAGCCGTCCTGAGCACGGGGCCAAGTCCAGGTGGCCCTGAAGGCTCTGGGGTGTGGGCACAGTGAGGAGCCGGCCGCCCGACCTCGGGGACTCAGGCAGCGAGCTGAGGACCAGGGCGTGATGTCACAGATGTGGACAGTGCCGGTGGGAAGGCCGCATCTCTGCACCTGGCTGGCGTTCGGTGCCCCTCCCGTGGGCCTCTGTCTGGGTGACCCCCGAGTATACAGTATCTGGATCTCACCTGTTCTGGTGAATTGTGTCCCTTTTCCTTACCTGTCACATCCACAGACCTTGAGGGCAGCAGGCAGCCCCTCCCTGATGCCCCCTTTCCCAGCCTTCGTGGCCGAGGTTGGGACGATGGGGCTGGGCCATGGCACACAGAACGACGGGTGGCCCATCTCCCCACGGTCCCCCTACGAGGCGGGGTCCCTGGGCCCAATGGGAAGGGACAGTTCTGTTTTTCGTTCCCCTGGCCATCCTGTGCCAGGTGCCTCTGTTTTCCTGAGTTTCCGTGAAGTATACTACCTAAGCGTCCAGTTAACAGGAGTATTATGCTAGTTCTATGCTACTGAAAAAAGTAAAAAAAAAAAAAAAAATACCAAACTATATAGCAACTGTTCCCGCCACCCATAGACTAAAGGTAGGACAGAAAATCCACGTATTTAAGACCCGTCCCCACGTCCATGAGTATTTCATTTACCTTTCGGTCACCACGGACTTAGGCACCTGTGTCTTGGCGTAAAGGCACCGGCTGAGATTCGGGTTCCTTGTCACAGAGGCCCTGGGCCTGCCCGGGGTGCTGTCCCCAGCGGCCGCCCCAGGCTCCACGGCCTGGGCTGGCTCCGGAACCGGGCGGGACCCTGGCAGGGTCCCCCACCCAGCCCAGCACACCTGCGCCTCTGCCCCGGCCTGGCAGCGCCCCCGCCACCTCCCCCTCGCCTACAGCGAGTGCAGACGTCTTCGAGGGCAGAGACTGGGAGATTGAGATGTTACAGCATTTTTTTTCTTGTTTCACAGTACTCAATTTTGTGTTGATTCAGCTAAATTATGAAAATAAAGAAAAAGTCCTTTGATAAGCATGGCGTTTGTTCGCTGGCCGTGGTGTCCTGGGAGAGGGGCAGTGGCAGGCGTGGCCAGCGGGGACGGAGCTCACAGTGCACATGGTGATCGATGGGACCCTCCTCCCAGGCGC